TCCTACTGTCATGTATGTTTATGTCCTTGTCTCAGTGGTAATAAACCAGTGATCCTCCTCAGAAAGTTAATAACAAAACCATCTGAACAATGAAAAACATGATGACCTTGAATTTATTGCACAGGCTGGTCTGACCTGGGAGACGAAGTAAAGTGTTCTTAAAATGGAAGACATGAAAAAACGCCAAAATACAGCAAGGCACATGGCTCTTAGGTGAGCTCCCTGCCAGGAACCTGAGACATCCTCAGCACTGAAGCCCAGAGAGCAGAGCCAGGCAGGTTAATCACCAGTACTGCAGGGCTCTGAAACAGGGAGTGCTACATGACTTTTAGCTAGGTGGAGAGAGCAAATATTTTGTCTCCTTTTCTCTTTCTCCACATGTAAATCCAGATTCTTTGCTGCTTCTCACCAGAAACATGCTCTTAAGGCAAATGATCTATACGTGTATTTTGTGCAAATATTTGATAACTTCAGGATTCCCAGACAGCTCCAGCCCTTCCTGTTCAGCAATCCAGATCAGTGTGCTGGCCAGCTGAGAGCCCAGGCAGCTTTCAGTCAGCATTTGCCAAGCACATTCTGCCATGGGAGAGTCAAACACCAGTGCCTGCAGGCCAGCCAGTTACCTGTTGTTTCCTCTGCCCTCACTGAGGCAGAATTTTCCTTCTGCTTTGATGGAGTAGATTTTAAAAGCAAACACAAATACATCATAGCCTGACAGACATCATTCTATCAGCCCAGCCTCCCACTTCCCCCTGCTGCCTTTGGACATTTCAGGTCTTTCTTTTCTCATTATCTGACATCCTTAAGCTCTGAGCTAATTGCTTTCTTTTCATAGGCAGCCCTGCTAAGAAAACATTGATTTCTTAAACTTAATTTGCCATTATTAAAGCATTTGGTGTCCCTCCAAAAAGAAGGTGTAAATCACATTTTATTGTTACTGATTTGCTTCTGTCTGTGTGGAAGATTTTTATGCAGTGTTTGGCTTTGGAAGGTTTATTTTTGCTTAAGGTGCTGACATTTTGCTAACCATTTAAGCAAGGCAAAATAGCTTGGGCTCAGTGACAAAAACCTGATTGGAAAAGTCTGAATGGAAGGCAGGAAGGAGAATGTTTGTGTCACTGGATTAGGAGCCAAAACTGGACTAAGGGATTTTTTAATTGAATGTTTGCTGGTTTATCTTTTATGTTCATAGACTATTTTGGGTTGGAAGTGACCTTAAAGATCATCTAGTTCCAACTCCCCTGCCATGGGCAGGGACACCTTCAACTAGACCAGGTTGCCAGAGCCCCATCCAACCTGGCTCTGAACACTTCCAGGGATGAGACACCACAGCTTCTCTGGCAACCTGTGCCAGGGCCTCACCACCCTCATGTTAAAGAATGTCTTCCTTATATCCAATCCAAACCTACTGTCTTTCAGTTTGAAGCCATTCCCCCTTGTCCTGTCATGTCCTATGTCATATTTTACTTACATTTTTCTTCATTGTGTCGTAGTCTGGTATAAAAGTACTAAAGTATTTAATTGAAACATGGAAAATGTGAAGTAACACATACTGCAAAATTTGCCAGTAGATGAAAAATCAAGGATGCATTATCTTCATATGGGATTAACTGCTTTGGAACCTGCAGTTGGCTCAGCAGATGAAATTCCTGACAAGGAACATGTTATGCAGGAAGTGCATTCACTCACCTGGCCTTTCTCTCCAGTATTCTCTCCTCTGTCAAAGAGCAGCCTGCCCCCTCTGCCCTTACTCTAGCAAATGATCTGTTCTGGGAACTGAAGATGCTTTAATGACAAGAGCACTAACTTTGGAGTTAAAGGCACATGATTAGATTCCACCTAAAGGAATTTGAACAAACTACCTGTGTCTCAGTCTTATAAGGACAACAGTACTTGCCTTTTTCTAGAAACATCACAAGAAATACCACAAGAACTCAGGACTGAAGCAGTTACAACAGAAGTGAGGATTTCTCACGCATACCAGAGATTATCATTCTCTGCTTTCTGATTTTACTGTCACTGAAACCTCTTTAACAATTCACTACACAATTCCACATGCCAAAGGTCCTTCCAGACCCCTGAACCCTGTAAAGCAGGGTTGGCCAATCCATGGTGTGGGACTTGCAGGTCCCTGTTTTGTATGCCCCGGTGATGTGGATAGGCAGGGACCCCTTATTACTGCCCTGGCCAGCCCTGTCTGTATTTAGTAAGAATTACTGAGATTTCCTCTATTCTACTTTCACCTTTTTCATACAGGTACAAAGACCCTGCTAGCACAGCTAAAACAATAGCCATGCTCCTGGCTCATCTTAACCTGCTTAATCTTTCTTTGATGACCTCAGACACAGCTCAATTACAAAAATACTAAGAGTTATGAGAATACTTGGTCTACAGGCACAGTATTTTCATGCAGTCAAATTTACCATCTGTCTTGATGACTTCACTCACATAAGGTGACATTTTTACTTATGCATGGAACTGCAGCTTGGTCAATAATTCTGCCTTCCCAGAAAGGTTACTAGGCATGAGTCAGTGGTTACAAGCAAAGTGAAAACTCTGAGGTACAAGAGTTGTCCACCGTTCCACAGTGCAATAAGAAAACAGAGCCAGCAGCATTTGCAGCACTTTTTTTTTAAATACATGATCTCATTTGTACATCATAGTACTGTACACCAATCCACCCCAAGCAGTTGCAATGTCCAATTTGTGCTTTAATCTGAGCATGTAGAAGGGAGTGGATATATAATTCATGCCTCAGATTGTTTTACTCAAGATTTTGAATCAAGCTGAAGTTTCTTGCTTTTAATATCAGATAGAAAAAGTTTCTCCAAAAGCAGAGTCTGCATATGTACAGTTGCTTCAGGACAGGAAATATTTTGTGGATATCAAACTCAGGTCTTTGTTTCCCTCTAATCCTATATTTCTCAGGTGAAGTTCCCACAGATGCCATTCAACATCACAAAAAACCCTCTGTAAGTTATATACTACTGCCCTCTACTGCATTGTTAATTTAGATCATAAAGCCATCCAAGTCACACTTCCTGTCAGGTTTGTGAGGCTTATTCATGTCATCAGTCAACCAGGCCACCTGTACAGCAAAGATATAAATAAAGTATTCAAAGTTTTGGGGAAGAAAATCACAATATGTCTGAACCAGTAAGACTAAAACAATAAGGACTTGTATAACTGTATTTGTTAAGCCTCTCACCTTTCATCTCCCAACTTCATAAGAAAAACACAGCATCACAGTCATTCTAGAATTAAAAACACCCTCCAGTCAGTTCTATCTGTTCAAACACAAGCTGAAAAAAAACCATAATGGAAAACCTGTAGGATATGTGAAACATTAATACCTTTGGATTATCTGAGGTTCACAATTCTCTAATGCTACTGACTGCCAAAGATGTCTACCAGTACAAAAGGCATAAATCTACACAAACATATTCCTTTCCCCAGGAACTTATTACTGAATGTGGCTCACATCCAGGATATGTCTTGGAATAAACAGCATCTGAACAAACTGTGTCAATCCTCTCAATTCAGTTCCCCAGGAACTGTTGTTTCAGTACAGAAAAGAGATTTCTGCAGGACATGAGGCACTTCAGACTCAATTTAGTTCCTCCACTATTTACAAAGCACTCTGTGCACTCCTCCATTGCTTGTTTCTAATGGAGAATGGGCAGATTGAATGAGAAAGACTGTGCTGCATTTTTCTCATTAAAACATGTTGAGTTAAGGTCAGGTTAATAACTTTCCTTGGTGGCATCATGCTAGGGAACTAATTTCAAAATGATTGCCTGAACACAAGGCACCCTGAAAACTTTTTTTTAATAAAGCATAAGCAAGTAAGAAACAAACAAAAAGAAATTGAGTAATCTCAGTCTCACACCTCCATAAATTCTAGGACAATTAACAGAGAACTCCAAATGCATCATAAGACATCTCAGAAGATGAACCAATAAGTAATTACCGTGAGAGACACCAAGAACCTGTGGGAAAGAAAAACAGCACCAAGTTGACATTCCAGCTGAGCACTGAGGCAGCACATTATTAACCACAGGAGACAAACTGTATTAGATCAACTTTATTTATATTATCAAATTTGACAATAAAATATTCCAAATCTATTGAACGCATTCATACACAGGAACATATAAAATGCCAGGTCTCAGAATGTGTTCCATACAAAATACTGGTTAGTGTAGCAAAGTCATTGCCAAACATTCCCTGAATTTCAGAGGGCCTTGAACACACTGTGCTCCAAGAACTACCTTAATACCAAACATTCCTTCCTTTGGTCTGCAAATCCTTTGCAATTATTGCTAGTTATTGAAGTCTTCTGTTTTTATACAGAATCACACAGTGACTCTGAACCTCTTCAGAAGTATTAAAATGACAGCTGAAAGCTTCATCAGCATTTTTGATACGTGTTGTCAAAAATAAGAAACACATTTGGTCCTCAAGACTAGTTTTGGTTTCTGAAAACATCCTGGATGAATAAAACAAAGCAAAAATTATGGAGACATAATTAGTGCATTAGGTATAACAAAGGTACTTCAGTAAATTCAAACATGTCAACTGTGCAGCTTGGTAAAGCACCTGAGTTAATCCTCTTCTGAAAGTGTCACATTCTCCCTAAAGATTTATTTCTTCAGAGCTCTCCCCCCAGGAATCTCGACTGCTCCAGTGCCCCTGGCAGGGCTGTGACAGACACACTGAGTGCTCTCCCCACGGTGAGGGAGCATTCCCAACACACAGCCAGGAATAATGCTTCACTTCCAATGAGAACTGCATCCTAACATGCAAGGAACTGCCAACGAAAGGGCTGATGATGATTTGGTAGAAAAAAGAATTCCACCTTCTGGCCATAAAGCTACAGCCTGCAGATGCACCACATCCAACCCAAGTCCCACCAGAAGCACTGTGTGTGCTCCCACAGGACTCAGGCACACATTCCCCTACAACAAGGCTTTACAGTGACAAACAGCAGCACAAACAAATGCCTTGAAAAAGTTTCAGCTTCATTTTACCTTATCAACTAACACAAGTTTATTTATGGAGACACTCAAGGACTTGTCTACTAATGGAAAGCTGATTTGTAAATCTTTATGTTAAAAGATACAGTCAACTGATCTCAGAAACACAGTATTAGACTGCCAAAATTAGAATAAGAGTTGTGCTTTTTTTTTCTTTTCAGTCACAAAAAGTAGTATTAAAAAAGTACTAAAGAAAAGAAAATAAAAAGAACAAGCATCGTTTTGAATCATGTATTTTGGAACTTCAAATCACAAAAAACCCCTGAAGCTAAATTCTTGCTGTGAGACTGAAAATACTACTGAGTAGGTAAGGATCTAAATGAAGCTTAGAAACATTCTTCAAATCAGGTTAAGAATCATTTACTTATGTTGTTTTCTCATTTTTTCATCCCTTGATGCCCACACTGGTATCCTGCAGTCCAGCCTCCAGCTCCACTCATTCCAGTGCTTAGTAACAGGCATTCTACTTCAGCAAGAAACACAGACTGCAAGGAGCTGTTTCCCTTCATTTTTTCAGTTGTAAACCAGTAGTATAACAATTTATTCAAAAATTGAGTCAGACCAAGGAGGAGCTTTATCATCTTTGAGCAGTCTTGGAACACAAGTCTGAAGCTTATCCAGCTGACAGCCCTGCATACAATAGATCACCTGGCTAACAGACATTGTTTTGTGGGGTTTCTTTTTTTATTTTCTTCTTGTTGTGGGTTTTTTTTGTTTTGGAGTTACTCTGGAAAAGTCTAGGCAATATTACTGCTGAACTGTAGGTTCCTGGACAACTGAGGGTAAGATTATTGTTCCATTTTAAAAATCAGGAAAATGTGTATACTCCCTCAACATAAGTAAAGGAAAAAAATGTGGGCAGGGTGGGACAGGGGGGAAATAAAGCTACATAGGGAAGTTAAAACCTAGGAAGACATTTAGCTTGTTGATGACCTTAGTTCAAGTTGTTCTGCATTTAGAGATTTCTGAATTAAAACTTAAAGCCTTAAACCTACCTTAAACCTGCCAAAATGTTTCCATTCTACAATAACAAGAGTTCAAGCCCATCATTTCAACATGTCCTACCGATATGTCCAATGGCAGCAAACATTTTATGCATGCTATTAGTTAAAACCTGACCCTTTAGACAACTCCAGTTTCTTAAGTAGTAAATCCTTAATAATTTGATGAGTTTCTGAAACTATTAAAACACTTTTCTTGGAGAACCTAGCATTTTGAAAGCATTCTAAACTGCATTTTCAGAAAACTAAGTGCAGTCTAACTGGATGACTGGTTTTAAAGCAAGCAAAAGAGAATCTCTGGGTGACACTATTTCTCCAACAGGACTTCTGTAATCAAGGTTGTAAATATGATGGCCCTTAGGCCAGCACTTCTGTGGATGTCAGAGTTGAAATTATTCTTTTTTAACATTGAGTGAAACAATACTGTAGGAAATTAACAGATTTGCATGTTCAGCAATTTATAGAAACATTTAAGGAACAGCATATTCCAACTTCTTGAAACAGCAATAATGAAAATAATGGGAAATTACTTTTAGTCTTAAGCCAAAAAACATTCTTTTCATTGGAGTGCAATGTTGATCCAATTGCTGCTTGGTCAGTAGCTGGGTCAGAGATGAAGTATTTGACTGAGAGCAAGGTTTATACTCCATGTGGCATCATGCTGGCTTCCATTCCCCACCCCACTTCAGGAAGTTCACTTCTCTTTGAAATCCTGCCCACCATCCATTTCCACTACAGGAGATCGTTTGTCACCCAGAAATGTAATTCCATACTGTATAGATTGCTTGCCAGTATTCAATTAGCTTTGATTTATGTGCTACTCCACACAGCTACAGTTATTACAGGCATCAACCAGTTTAGCATCATTCCCTCACTGATAAATAAAGCACAGGGTGAGAATTCCTCAGACTCCAGACTGTATGTAATCAGGGTTCTACAAGTTGATGAGCAAACAATTTCTTTTTAAAAAACCCAGAAGGAGCTAATAAAGAAGCTTCAAGTAATTCCCACATTATCATTTTTCCCCAAAAGCTGTAGCAAAAGAAAGCTGGATTTCAACAACAGTAACACAGTTCCAGGCAGGCCTGTTCCCTGTCTTACCTCGTAGACATGTGCATTTACAAACTAAGGTACTGGGAACTGGGGATCAGAACATGCAAGACCCTTTAAAAAGTTTTCTGTGCTTTCCAGATGGTTAATATCATTCCCTTGTCTTAAGGGCATCCAAAACTGCAATCCTTCCTAACCCTCCCACTCCAAACCTGCACAGACCACACAAAGGACTCAGGTATCTATGGTTCCATGTAGTATGTGTGAGGGGCTGCACAGTCTCTGCATGAAAGTCCGTGTGAACATTGGACAACACCACAGGCACCAAAATGCATATTTGATCAAATTTGCAGAATGTGAAAATACCATGAAGCATCATAAACACAAATCAGAGACAAACAACATTTAGGACATCAAACAACTTCTTGAACACAACCTTTAAAAAAAGAAAAATAAATAATTCAAATATCTAAATATCAGGGGATTAAAAGGCATTTTCCCATATTTAAGGGAAGGCATCCCAGGTGAGGAAAATAACTATCAACACAAGGTTATCACAGATCAAAAAGCAGCTTCTTGACGTAGGAGATGGTCGTGTCGTTGGAGAGCATTTCAATGTGCTCGTTGCCCGGCAGCTCAAACATCAGCACCTCCTGTTTCTGCCTGCGCAGCCAGCGGCGGCACTGCAGGGCGCTCTGCAGGTTCACGGTGCCGTCCCCGTCGCTGTAGAGGATGCGCGGCTCCCTGTCGGGGAAGCTCTCGTAGTGGAAGGAGTCGGGGGTGTCCACGCCGCTGCCGTAGAGGCAGTGGATGCGCACGCCCGGCGGGGCCATGCGGAACAGCAGCGGCTCCGTGTCCTGCCGCATGAGCCAGCCGTCCTCGAAGCCGATGTCGCGGTAGAACCGCCCGTAATCCCGCAGAGTGTAGTTGGCCGTGGGGGTGCTCACGAACACCTTGTCTGGAGGCCACGTGTAGTTGTAGGGGAGCATCCAGTTTGTGGAAACTGCCGATCTCTGCTGGTCTCTGATCTTGAGTGAACTGATAACGGGTATCCTGTTGTTGTCACCTTAGACAAAACAGTGGAATTCCATTACACATAAAGCGAAGCATAAACCTCAATCGGCAGCAATTACTAGCACTCAGCAATAACACAGATAAAAAGTTTGGTCCCTTTGCTTACAGTGACAACTTGAAAAGTTTTTCCTTCTTTATGATGACCTTCATAATTAATTTCTGTAAACTAACCTCTAAAAACTTACCAATATAAATAAAAGTTGATGAAAAACTAAACCAAGAACACTGCTGCCCTTCCAATATGCTCCTTTGTAAAGGATGAAATATTTCCTGTGTGGGCCAAGTAAGAAATCAGATTTTATTAGGCGTTATTTAGACCGTTGGCAGGTTTTATCTTAAATGCTTTCCCGAAAATGTGTTTTACGGTGTTTCTGGTACCTAGAGCATGTTTCTGCTTCAAGAATAAGCAAATACTAACGTCCACACACTTGTGGGAACTCATGAAGAAACTTTATAGATTTAATGAAATGTTTAAAGTTTTCTACATTGAAAACAAGCAGAGTAGCAATATTTCATCCAGGATAGGTATAAATTGTTTATTTACCATTTGGCACAGCATTTTACCAGTTCATGCACATCTTTCATAACAAAATGTACAATGGAAAGAAAGTGGCAGATTCTTACTAATGGCCTAAAAAGATAACTGTCATAAAAGGAAACAGAAGCAACTGTTACTGTCTCTGCTTATGCCATCAAGTAAGAGTGCTGCCCTCAGTGACCAGTTCACTCTCAGCATAGCACTTCAACAGAAGAGCTAGAGCCTGTTAACTTCTGGTGGGAACCAGGACAAATTGCCAGTATCAGCAGCTTCCCTTCCAGTCAGCATGTAAGACTGCTAAAACACTTGCACTTCTCAGAACACAGGTTCTCTCTAATGTGGCACTAATATTTCGTAGCTGGTTACTCTGGTAACATAAACTACATCTTTGCCAGAGAGGGGCAGATAAAACCACAATTCTTCAAAAAACAGTTGATAATGACTATACTTGGTAAATGTTTTCAGCTGGCCAAGCTTTTACAAGGCATTACATTTTTATATAATGTTAATCTGAAGGGCTAGAGCTTAGCTCATTATCAATAAAGGTATTAAGTTATCTGATATCAAATAAACCACAAATTTGCTATCTTTTTACCAAATTTAGATTTACTCTTTTTACAGAGCTACTGTCTGACCAAATCATTCTTGAATTTTGTAGAAATCAAGACAACTGTTTTCTTAGCAGTTCATTCCAAAGATGGCTCAAACTAACACATTATTAAGTTATAATTTATATATATATATATCTTTCTTCATGTTTTAACAGCTGTTCTTGCATCATCACAGAACTAAAAGCTGCTTCATAAGTGGATGATATAGTGATGACTAGAAACATTTTTATTTAAACACCACTCCCCCCAAAAAACCAGACCAACAAACAAAAACAAAAAAAAAACACCAAAAAAGAACAACAACCAAACCAAATCAAACCAAAAAAAAAAATAGCTTAGACCAAAGTTTGTTTTTCTCATTTTCACCATCACCCTGGCTGGCACACCTCAATTCCTTTGTCAGCTGAACTTTGAATCAGATTTTCCATTATTATAGGTGGTTACAGCATGTAATGGTCCAGGTCAACCATGCTATAAAAATTGAAGTGCTGAAACCAAAACCACTATTCCTGAAAAATACACTCTGGTGCTATTTCAATTCCATAAGGTGGCACTAGTGCTTCAGCAAGGAGACATAAAGCACAATCTTTAATGCATCTTCAGGAGTACATGGAGACATTGTTGGCATAAGTCTGAAACAGATAAAGGAAACTCCAAAGAGCACAGCAAGAATCACCAAGGCCCCAAAAAACCTGTCTCATATTACTGTGTGGTAGCAGTACTTAACTGTGCACTCCCACCACCAAGCTACTGCATACTGCTTGGCAGTTCTCAGCAAAGAAAGCCCCAGTTTGAACGGAACAATAAGAGGACTGTGCACAAAATTTATTTCCAGTCGAATAATCAGACACAGAACTTGACTATTGCAGCCTTCTCTTACAGAACTGGTACAAAGTGCTTATCAAGTACTTTTCTCTGAAGTGAGGCCCTACCATGTGGTCAAGACCACATTTAATTAAGACAGCAGGCACAACACTCGTATTATAGTGAACAAAATATTAGGTCTAAGGAAGACACTGCTCCTATTTCAACCTGACAAAAAAACAGAACCAAGCCACCACAGCGAACTTTGTGCCTTTGCCTTCTGTAGGAGGAACATCCTCACTTTATTGGCACTGCAACTGTAATGATACAAGTATTGAGCCTGCAAAGCACATGAATAAGTAGCTGAAAGTATCACAGAAAATCTACTGAAAATAATTCCACCGTGTCCTGTTTACCACTTTGACAACACAACTGGATTTGACATGAAGTTCCTGGTCATTACATTTTATAAGCAGGAATGGAAGCAGAAAGAATGCATTCATAGCGTGCCTTGTCTTTCCTGAAGAAATGCAGTACATTTCTTTAAAGCAACAATTCTTCTACAAACTAACCCTGTTAATCTTAGAAACTCTTTAATAGACTAATGTAATCCAAGTGTTGATGCCTGGTGGTGGTGCCTTACTTACAGGTATTTGAGATAGGACTAGCCTAAAACTGCACTCTGAGATTAGGTACTGCCCATTTAACTTTCCTACATGATTCTTAAATTTCTGCTCAAAAAACATGGACTTCAGTACAACAGACATACAGATCAGAATATGACTACATTTCAGTAGAAATTTAACTATTCATGAAGCATTTGTATAACTAGCCATTTTGGATGAAATGCATTATAAAGGATAAACAAGGTACAAAGCACAAAAGTTTAATCCAACAGAAATCAAGGACTCTGGAATTTTATATAATCATGTATAATTTTATACAGCTAATATTAACATTGCTTACTTCCTGCCATTTCTGTAGCATGCAAACATGTCAGATGAAGCCTGTGGGAAAAGGGAAATCAATTTTTACAGTGCCATTGCAGCACATTTAACAATGTGTAAATTGGATGTTTGTATTGAGTTAAGTTTTCTAATTAGTTACAGAGTAGTGCACAACTGTTCACACTCAAATGCCTTTGCTAAGCAAAGTATTCTTTGCTCTGTCCATGCAAGGCTGACACTTGCTGTGTGTTTTGCATTTCAATGAAGTCCAATTTTTCATGTCAGCTTTGATTAGGAAGAAGATAGTGATATCCAAAGCTAACAAGTCAGAAGTAAGCTACAAAACCAAACCAGAATCATCAAGAACTAAATGCCAAAGCACATGACATCATTATGGTATCACATGATGGGGTAAGTGAACATTTTCCATCAGTCATTTGCAGTTAATTAGTGTAATACATTATGCTTTATTCAGTTTTTTTTTTAGTCTCAAGCATATCCAGTGTGCTAAATCTCAGACCTCACTCAGCAGTGTTACAAATTTCACCTGCCATTTACACTGTAGGCACCACTTCACTGCCATGTCTACAAGTTTCCCTTAATGTCAACCTCAGGCAGCTGTGATCCTGAATCAAAGGAAACTCTGGAATGCTCTGGAGCCCCTGTTAGCTTTGCAATCCTGAACAGAGCAATCAGGCTGGGGGCAGAAGTGACAGAAATAGAAAGCATGAGGCCAAACAGCAGATGACAGAACAATCTGCAGAAAAGAGGTCAGGAGGGGTCAAGAGGGGACATAGCTCCTGGTTACAGGATGGGGATAAATTCGGTCCACTCCCACAAATAGGAAGAATGACAGTCTGGTCTCAAGGCTTGACACAGCAAGTTGTCATCACTTAGGAAAAATATTTTTACCTTTGTAGTACCTTAACCTCTCCTCTTCCAATCTCAGAGTTCCCAGGCTAGTTCAGTACCATGCACTGTGCACCAAAGGCAGTGCCAACCCCAGGTACCCACCTGAGGCCAGCACACGGAGAGTTTTAGCCACCCCTCCCCAGGGAGCGCCCAGTGACACATAATCCTTGATGTACTTGTCCTTCCAATCCTGAGTCTGCTGGTTGAGGAAGTACAGGGTGTACATATTACCCATACTGTGGGCAATTAAGACAACAGGACTTCCATACTGCTCATACATTAACTCGATCATCTTGCGAAGTGCCACAAAATAGTCTCCATTCTCATCTAAAACATACAGATTACACAGTTAGAATTATTAATTGTGAATGCTAAACTTTAAAACCATAAGCTTTTAAATAATTGCATTAAACTGTCTATGGAATTAATATTACAGAGCTTATAAATTCCAATATTAAGTGGGAGGAGGGTGGGGTTTGTGGGCATGTGCTTTGGTAGTGTGGGGGGTTTCTGTTGTTTTGCTCTGTTTTTAAGGAAGTTTTAAGTGGCAAGTCGTTTAAAGAGGGGGAAAAAAAAAAAAGAAACCACAACAATGAGCTCACGTCTGGGTCCGGGAGTGCCCAGGCCCCAAGAACCAGTCAAAATTAAGTATGATTTTACAGGATGGGAGAAGAGACTCAAAACATAGGTGCTGGCTAGGAGAGGCAAAATTTTGTTCAAGTAACAGTATGTTATTTACTTGGTGCCTTTCGCCAGTCATAAGGTGCTCCTCTTACATCTTCATCACGTTTGTAGCCCCAGTCTACTAAACTCTGCACCAGCATATAAAAGTAGCTTCCTGTAGACAACAGATAAGAGAAAAACAGAACAGTAACAAGGTTAGTGTTACAAACTCCCTTTGGAGGCATTACCTCTGATACTATATATGCACACATTAAAACTGCAGGAAGCTACATGCACATGAAACAAAATGAGATGTGCCACTATCCCCCAAAATCGAGAGAATGCTGCTATTAACACTTCTTACTCGGTGGCTGATCTCTCAAAAATTTTGGCAGCAAAATCTAGTATACACAGAGGGGATAAATTTTACTCAGTAGAGAAAAATTTACTCCTGAACTGTAAAGAAAACACCTCAGAAGTTATTACATTAGAGTCCTAACTTTTGCTGATTGCCAATTAACTTCAGGCAGGGTATAATACAAATTCATAAAGGTTGGCCTGGACTTCAACATTTATTCTTGCAAACCCCAGGGCAGAATTCTGGAAACTACCACAAAACTATTTTTATATCTCTCAGGTAGAGGACTAAGACTGAAGTAACTGAACATAACACTTTAATAGCAAATAAGGGAAACAGTTACAGACTTCATATTGAAAGATGTCACATATTCCAAGCTTTGACACACAGGATTTAAGCATTACCACAACTAAATGCATCTAGAAACAGTGTCATAATATCCTACTGAGCATCACAGTCATATCTAAGTTTTGAGCAGAACCTCACTCATTAGTCTTGGATGTTTATTACACAGTCCCTGAAGTGGAGAACTTTAAAGGTGACCCTCTTCTAGTTATAAGGCTCATCTGGTGCAGATCATTAAGCACACTGCAGCTCCCTAAAGAGCGATCCTTGTACATACCAACGCTCCTTTTACTCGGGTCAAGAAATTCCAAGGAAAACGTCTGCCCAAATCCTGGGACTCTGATATCCACTCCATCTGGTGGTTCTGTAATCTTACTTGTTCGATTATACACCAGCCTGGGGCAGAGGGGAAGAAAAAAAATAGAGAAAAACCCCATGAAACCTGTTGCATTTCCACGAGACCTCTCAGCTGTACTGGAAAGAGACTTCTAGGGCTGCCTGTAAAGGACCCTATCTGCTAATAACACCAAGGTTGTGGGTTCAGTCTCTGTATGGGCCAGAGATTGGACTTGATGATCCTTGTGGGTTCCTTCCAACTCAGAATATTCCATGAAACGTGATCCAAACCAGTCATTTCCACGTGTCTTGTGGTAGAAATTGGTCTCAGCTGCCCAGGAGTCTGTTCCTAATGACACAGTGCCGGCAGAAGCTCAAGCTCACGTTCCTCCTGCCTGTCCCCTCTGAGCTGCCTGAGGTACCACCTTCCCCCTGCCTCCTCCAAACCTCAGGAATTCATCACAAAATAGGCAGGACCCAAAGAGACCAGTGGGTCATCTGCTCCAACCTCCCTGCTCAAGCAGGGGCTCCCTAAAGCACATGGCACATGGTTCTGGAATATCTCCAGTGAGGGAGGCTCCACTCCCTGTCTGGGTGATCTGTCCCAGAGCACAGTCACTGCACAGCAAAGTTCTTCCTCATGTTCAGGTGGAACTTCCCAGGTATCAGTTTGCCCATTGCCTCTTGTCCTGTTGCTGGGCAGCATCAAGAAGAGTCTGGCTCCAAAAGGAGCAGAAAACATTCTCTTGAGGAAAGCCCACAAAGGTGCCTGAGAAGTGCTCAACCTACACTGGGTAACTGGTAGGAGAGAAAGTAGAAGCCAAGAGAACCTCTGTTCCTCATCAGTGATGAACAGCTGGCTCAGACACAACAGAGCCACACCTTCAGAATTCTCCTGTTAGTGCCAGCAGAATTCCAAGCCATTTCTCTCACAAGTCTTGAATCAGCAGAGAGAGTTTAAGGCAGCCATTCTGCACATCAGCCTGAGGAAAGGCACTAACTGCAAAGAGCAATGTTTCTGGTCTTACCTGATATTGTCAATCCAGCAATCAATGATGACAGGCAGAAGCAATTCCAGATTCAGCCAGAGTGTAAAATAACTGTCTGTCTTCTTAGAGCAGAGATAGTGCACTACTGATGGCTTATCTAACTTTGCTTCCAACTGATTACCTAAGTCGCCTGGAACTGAAATATATAAAAAGGAAAGAGGAAAATATAAAAGGGAGACAATTAAAGCAAATAACATTTTACATTGCAATATACTATCTAAATACTGTAGCCCTCATTTGCATCATCACTGCATCCAGAGACACTATAAAATTTTGTAACTGGAAAAAAAAATTATATAAGAAGAAAGTACTACACGTACATTTTCCACTGAAAATACTTAAATTTTAAAAAATCAGTACCTGAGGAATCATTACATAGAATAATTCTGGATCAACAGTTCATAACTTCCAAGAGAGGACTATAAAGGAACATGTCACATTAGCCCATTGGTATGAAAAACAAAGATTGCCTTGGACATTACCAAAATTATCTGTGTTTTAAAGTACAAACAATCTTTCTGAAAGAACTTTTTCTTCAGTGTCACAACTGCATATAAAAGTCTTTTTTCTCTTTAAACAGTTGCCTGCAAACTATCACTTTGAGATTAAAAACATGAAAAGTAAAAGATCCATTTATATTTTATCTTCCCTTCTTCACCTCCAACCACACTTTTGCAACACAAGATGTAGTTGGCTAACAATGTCAAAATACAGTTTCATATCTCTTACATGCAGGCTTGGATGCAACAACAGTATTGCTCCTCACTTTTTTCCTTCGTATGCATTACAACAGTAATACTCGGTCTTGTAATTGCACTTTCTTGAGGCATATACTAAATGCCAGTATTCCTTTGACTGAGGTTTATTTTTCTTTTTTTTTAAATGCTAGATGGAAACAGGAATATTTTTCTAAATTAGAAAAATACTTAACAAAACATTCTTACAGCTTTCAGTAGCAAGTTTTCAGAGAAATGTCTTACATTCTGTTATGGTTAATCATTTTTTCCTCAAAAAACAGAAAGGCAAAAACATTTCGGCATCTGAAAAGTTTTTCTATGTGAGAAAAATTTAGAAGGAAGGCCCTTCTTAAGGGTTTTCCCAGCCTCTTTCAGCTCCACACAGCCACCTTTTTGGGGTGTGCACAACTGTATCCTATTTACTTGCTGATGTTTAGTTCTGAAGTTTTTTAATTTCTAACCCATACAGTTGTGTCCCCCCTCCACCCACCCCCCAGTAAGTTACTTAATCAAAACAGTTTAAGCTCTATAAAACACTAATACTTAGCAATAGCTTCAGGAAATAGATATCTTTTAGTGGAACATTTAATTTAACTGTGATTTTAGAGAAACACTTATTGCAGAACTGAAAGAGGATAGAATTTCAAACTACAGACCTGGACAACCACAGTCCAAAACACTCCCTAACCACTGCAGATTATGCCTCACCACAAGGATTTCTTTATTAACTACCCCTACTTTCTCATTAGGTTTCTAATGGTGTTATTTTTGTAGCCTTAAGTGAAACGTTAAGAGTCCCAGTAGCTGACCATGGTTTATTTTAGGTCATATTTCAAGGACTGATATGCCGGAAAGCATAGTAAGGGAGATTATAGGATTGCATCACACCCTAGAAAGAGTTTACTGAAGTTCAGTCTTGTAACCTCACAAAATGCTACTTAGTTATTGCTTAGAAAACTAAGGCAACAGCTTGTTCCAGTGTCGTGCCTCTGCTGTATCAGTGTTTTTAATTAGAAAAGGAACAGAATGTAATTCTATTTATATCAATCATTGGTGACTGGCAGTTTCAGCAGCAGACCTGCCAAGGACGGAACAGGTTGATTTTGCCTTCGGTTTCAATGCAAAACAAAGAAGAGTGACATTTTGTTCTATCCTGGAATCTCATTTCCTTGGGTAAAAATCAAATTCTTCCAGCAAAGATACCTTTCAAAGACTTAGACAAACAGCTGGAGTTTGAAGGACTTGCTGATGAGCGAGTGCAGTTAAAAAACCTCAGCAAGTCCTGCTCAGAGTAGGCAAACTCACAACTGAAGAAGTTAAAAATTATAATCAAGATACATTTACCAACAAAAGTGCTGAAAGCAGGAAACTGTACAAAGTCTCACTTGGACTTAATGGAGTAATCTTAGATTAAGTGCAAGTTTAATTTAGTTAAGATATTTTATCTTCAAGCTTCTTGAGGACAGAGGCTGTGCTCCTGTGTCCAGTTCAGGGCAGAGGATGAGAAACATGACATACTGATTTTTACTCAAGGGATGATAAAGAACAAGATGAAAAATGGTGATTTCTGCAATTCTAAACAAAAGATAAGGGACAAGTCCCACCTGTGCCAAGATACATCCTGGAGTCAAAAAATAAATTCTCGTGTACATGTATGAGGCCTGATTATTTATAAAGCAGGGATTAACAAAAATGCCTGTCATATTTACATTTCCATATTAACAGTGAAACTGCTAATCACCATAATTCACAGCTTGGGGTTTTTATTTCTAAAGTATATTTGCAAGCTGAAGAGGGTTCATGATGAAGCTATAGGAAATAAAATACAAATTTTGATTTTTGAGATTATGGAAAGAAATATGCAAGATCTTCAGTCCTCAACCCACCCAGTTTAACAGTGTTAATGATTTACCTTTTGGCTGGAGAACTACTTGGTGGCTTTTTGATAAGTAACAGGTTAAAAAATATCACATTGAAGATTAATTCTGTAAATTAAGGGCATACCTTTCCAAATTTTCTATGATGGAATTTAAAAGCAGTAGAAAAACATCTTTCCCTTTGCTTTCAGGTCATACAGAGAAAGCATCTGTGGGCAGAGTTATCTTTAAGCAATTTTTCTCCTCATCCTCTCATCTACCAGTATCTGTAGTTTCTAAGCCTTTTTGCTGGAAACATTACATAAAGTTCATACTTTTTAAAGCCTGCAGACTGATCCCAAAATAACTGGCAAGGGGAGTTCTGCAAATACATCAGCACTAGTTAAAACTGGATGTCCAAGAAAAGATCTTCAGCAGTACCCTTGCTTCCCAGCTTGCAGTTGTGTAATTCCTCTCTTGATTTCTGAACTACAACATTTGGAAATATGAGATTTCATATTCAGGAAAAAAAAAAGGCACTTCCATCAGATTTCTAGCACATTCTCATTTTTCACAGACAGTAATCCCAACAGAACTCATTCCAATACACTGATGAACCCAATTCATTTCCAATATTATAGTATCCTTGGCTGATTTTTTTCATCTTATCTGCCCTGACAGAACAAGTAGATCTCCTTTTGGGATGGGTTCTTGTATGTTTACACTTTATGGAAAGCACATTTACAAGTTTCATTCGAGTTTAAGAGTGGCCTTGGACTTTTCCAAGCCTGTGAATTACAACAATCAGCTCTAGGACACATCCATACTCATGCCTATCACTATCCTTAAGTCTTAGTGACAGATTCACAGTTCCCATCAAAAGACTATGAGCAAACTGCACCTTTACAGTGACTTGTCTTAATACTGCTCAGACAACAAAGACAAATGATCATTCAACAAACCCCCTGAACAGGAGGATCTCACATTTTATCTGTTAAGAAAAATAAAATAATAATTAAAAATAGTGCCTACATAATAATGGGGTTGGGGGCTGGGCTATTTTTTGTGTGCATGTGTGGGATTAAAAAAAAAAAAAAAGACCATCAATTGATACTTTTTTTACTACTTTTATCTGAAATGCAAATGCTTTTGAGTATTTATCAACTATTATAACTTTTTAACTGGCATAATTTCCTCAAATAACTGTCATCTTTTTGGTTCTATAAATTAGCATTCCTTCAAAACAAACCAATTTCCAACTTCCCTGGCAAATTAATGTTAAACTCTGACCACAGTTCTCTAAGGAGAACATCTCCAAGTGGCTCACAGACACCACAGAAGAGGCCTGTGTTTAAAATTAGGAACAAGAAAGCAAACAACATCTCACATGATACTTCCAGATACCTTGGATCACATGAGGCATAAACATTTAAACCACTCCTGACATCTAGCCAGCTGACCATACAAACATGCACACCTCAATTAGCAGTCAGCAGGAATTCACAGGCAAAGCTCTTTTACATGTAAATCAATTATTAACAAACTTCATTTAGGTGTCTTTCTAGAAAACTTTAGCCAAGTACCTAACAAATTGTTTGCAGAAGGTATCAGAACATTGATATAGTAATTGTGTTGAGTCAGCTGTAAAAGGTAAAGAGTTCAGTGAATCCAATGCTGGTCCTATAAGGACGGGTTATCAGCTCCAAAAATGTCTAACACGTGAGATAGTATGCAGTGATTATCCATGGGCTATGTGAGAAAATGCAGGAAGAGCAGCCACAAAATAAACTACTTCTCACAAGCATTAGAAGACAAGCCTGTTGAATATAACCAAACTGAAGTACAAAAAAGTTATGATTCATGTAAACATGAAGCAGATACACAGAAGGAATTGCACAGAATATGTATATATTTAGTAGATATTGTCAGTAGAACAGAAGTATTTGGAGGGTTATTTTGGTTCTTAAAGGAGATTTTTCTGTATAAATATATTGTCCTGGCTAAACAGAAAACTCTTTAAAAAGGCACAAAAGCAAATCAGTATCTTAATTAGTCCCCTTTTCCCCAAAAACACTTGAGAGAGGAATCCAAGATAATCACCCTAGATTTTAATGAGCATTGTGCTTGATATTCAGCCAGGATTCTGGACATAAGGCTTTGACTTTTGCCTGTTTCTTCTTCTGTAAAATCACTGTTATCTGAATACACTTGATGCTTTGTTATCCAAATCTCAGGGAAAAGTGAGCAATTGCATTGCAGTATTTTGCTGGTAGTTACTACCCGTGCCAGTTTGGTCCCCTGTCATGTACAAACACGAGCTCCAGGCACAGCAGCTCCTGCTACCAAGGCCCCCTGATGATGCAGAGCCCAGGTGAAAAGCCGACCTAATCCAAACGGTGTGGTGCCACTCTCCACATTCCTTGTGCCAGCTGCTCCACTAAAGTAATTCAATCACCATATTAATCACTTCTCCTAAACGTGTTCACCTTCTCACCCTTTAGCAAGTCAAAGGACCCCATAAAGTGGCCAATAAGCAGGCACAAGGAAAGCTGGGTGAGCACTGAGCTCTTGGACCGGCCCAGCTTTCCACAGAACCTCCCTTCACCTGAGCCAGTCAGGGGCCTCTACAAACCTGAGACCTGTTGCCATCGCAACCATGGCCAAGAGTTACC